TTTTTTTTACCGACCTCAAAAAAAGTTATCGTGCGATTAATTGATTTATTGACTATCACGACAGGCCTATGTGCAATTAATCGTCAGAAAAACAATCGATTAATTTTTGGCAGTTGACAATTAATACGATTAATGCCACCTGACAGACTAACCGCTTGGTGTTCCTCTCTGATTCAAATATGACCAACATTTTAAAAATGTGTAATTTATTTATCTATCAACATAATTTAAAGTTTGATGTACAGCCTGAAGCCTGTAATTTTGACACAATTTGGAACAGATTTTTACTAAGAGCCAATTTTCTCCCTATAAATTGGTCATGTGAGTAGGATATAAGGGTGTCCAGGGACTCTGGGGGGATTAATCGTCAAATTAATCGTTATCAGCTAAATACCACAATTAATCGTGATTTTTTTTTTTTGCCAATATTGCCCAACAGTCATATTTTTGATCATATGATGCAACTGCCTGCCATACCTTGTTAATCATGTAATGCAACGGCATGCCAACATTAATTGTACGATACAAGTAGTTTTGAACTCCTCATTTCCAAAATTTCTCTTTTAGTTTTATAATTGTTTTCAAYAAAATATGACAACAATTTAGCTCCATAGATTGCATCAGATTTGAATTTTCTGTGTGCTCACGTTCTGATTTAAAGTGGACCTCCATCATGGCCCTCAAACAGAAGGGGTGACATCACACGCAGCTCGCTGTGTTTACAGAAGAATTATTAATGATCGAATCTATAAAAGAATACGGAGGACTGATCTGTTCCTGTCATTGTTTCTACGCTGACGTCCATTAACATAACCTCATTATGATGGAAAAGCCTATTATGACTTCTTGTCACCGAGCAGTCTGGATAATTATGTGCAAATTTACATTTAATATGTGTAAGGTGCCACAAGCTTCTATAACAAATCCAAACAGACACTCGGCTSCATTAATGCACCACAAATCAGTCAGCCTGACTATAAATACACTTCTATAAAACCAGACGTCAGGGTCGGCGACGTTTGGCAGAAAATCAGCAAAAATGACTCGTGAAGACAACCGGGGACCATTTAGCTTCCTCCCAGACCAGTTTTATAAATATTCTCAGCTAAATGGATTTCTGTACGTCTGCATTTAAAGGTTGAACTTTATCTCCAGAGTATTCCAGATGATCAATAGCTGGAGGTGTGTGGGGGGGGGGGGGGGGTCATGCTGCTCAAAAGGTGGAATTAAATTGGACGTATTCAGATTTTAATGATTCCTCCACTAGAGAACGTTTAAATTTAAGAGAAAATTCTCCTTTTTTGTCTTGTGTTGGGATAAAGAGGAGCTTTCAGGAAATAGAAAAGGTCAAAAGGTGAACAACATGTAGAGAAGTATCATCAGGAGACCATGAACTGTCAGTTCCTTCTAAAAAAGGTTTCATGGTGTGCAAGACTGTTTTTCAGCTTAAAGCACGAAAATCTAATAGAATAGAATAGAATAGAAATAGTCTTTACTGTCTCACAGAGGGGAAATTCAGGTGTCACAGCAGCATCAGTACAGAGGTTCTCACACTAGTTACTTTACAAACTACAGACAGTACACACAAAACTAAATTAACACTAACTAACCATGATACAACTACTAATAACGTGACTCATTTTAGACTAAAAAAAATTTTAAAATCTGGGATAAAACTGAGCTAGATTAGCTGACAGATACTGAAGTTTTCATCTGCAAGATCCAAATCAGGTGATAAACAAGAAGCAGGTGTGCAGGAGGAAACATTAAAATGATTAAAAACCAATGACACTAAACCCCACAGATTGTGACGTTCTCTTCTGATGATAAAATAAAATRTCTTTTCAGTTGGGTTGGTTTAACYRATTACAAAAACTGTCTTTAACTCAGTGAACTTTACAGAAACTGAGTAAAAACTGAATGTGGCAGCAGCTGAGAGTCAGCTACAGGTAACACATTCAGTAACAGGTGTTGGGGTACATTACAGATTGTTTCAAATGTTTTCAAGGTTCGACCAGAACAGCAGGATGAAGGTCRTTTTCACACCTGGTGGTGTAGACTCGGTTTGATTTGGGACCAAAACTGCAACAATTGTTTCTATTTTCACTTGGTGTGGTTCACTTTCACACTGCTCTGTTTCAAACAAACTAAACCCTGTGAACAACCTGCCCCCTGACCATTTAGCGCCAAGTCACAACAACTGTTGACTCAGGGAACTGTACACAAAAAATAAATAAAAAAATCAATCTAAAGAATGCGTTATATGCATTCACACACGCAATCGAACCTCACCAGAGTTCACTTCAATCAAACCAAGACCTAGAGGCAAACCAGAGTTCACTTTTTGTTAGTTCGTATCAGAGTTCGATTACGCCTTCACACCTCCTCAAACCAACAGTAYCATATCAATAATTGAATATCGGTCCGATATTAGCCAAAAAATGAATATGTGATTATATTGGCCTGCATCTAAAATCTGACAGCAGCACTCCTTTTTATTTATTTAGTTGTAAAAYATTCTTAGGTTCAAGTAAAAAATGTATGTAACCCATTGGTTAATAATAAATGGGTCAGTTTTTCTGTTGTTTACTATTGTTCAGTGTTTGACTTGACCAAGTCTTTTGAGATTACACATTAAAAAAAGTTAATAAAAGTGTGAATCATTCGGATGTTGTATATCAGACTCGAATCTGAAGTGAAGTTGTTGTTTCAGAACACCTCTACAAACAAACTAGAGTTCATTTAAAGCAGAATAAACAGAGCTGGTGTGAACACACCTAAATCTCTGACATGAAAAGGGTTTTATTTCACACTGAGACCATTTTATTCACCTGAAATAACAGAAAGCACCGTCTCCTGACTGAAAGCATGGCTTTCTGCTCCATAAACTGTTACCTTTTTAGGACTGTTTCTGCTAAATAAACCTATCTTGTTAASAGCAGAAGTCCCTATGAGGACCAAAGACCGGTTCTGATGGTGAAACTGAGGGTATGGAAATGAATGGAAGTCTATGAACAGTCCTAATAAGAATARAAATCCAAACTTTGTGTGTGGATGCAGTAAATACTGCAGCTCTCAGCCTGATCAATAATTCCTTCAGCTGCAGATTCCACATTGATGAGGCACTTTGATGTGAACTGGAGTGCGTGTGGGAGAGAGGCCATCCTGGGGGAGAAAATGTGAAGAAAAGAGGCTTCATTATTTCAGACGCCTGTCAGCGGGTCACATTCAATTAACTCTAATACGTTTGTCAGTTTGGAAAACAAAGCAGCAGCCTGGAAAAGAAGCAGCAGGCGGGCAGAAACGTAAGAGCCGGTGTGATTTTTAGGATCATCTCAGGGACGTTAAATCACAGAGAACCATCGGAGAAGAACAGCAAACATCTGTGACGCAGCAGACTTTATTAAAACCTGCTTCTGAGGCCGACAACAATAAAAAACTTTCAAAGCAGCGAAAACTTTTAAAGATTCTTTAAAATCTGTTGTATTTTGTGTACATTTGTCTTCAGCGTCTGACGAGGAGGAGTCGCCTTTTACAGTTCATTTGAACCTTTTCATGTCAAATGAATAGCTGAGTGTTAACTGGATGCAATGTTTGCTAATTAGGTCTGTGATAAATTGCTGCTTCCAAAAGCTCGTTTAGCTGGATTGTTAGTTTTTAAATGGGGCTGGAGTCCTGTCATCGGGGTGGTGGATTTATCAAAAAATAAAATAAATAAAAAAACCAGCAGCTACTGAAACRTTCACTCAAACAGCCTCTTTCTTATGCAAATGAGGTTGTCAGAGTTTCCTGACATTTTATTTAGTCGACAAACAGCTGCTTCAGTCTCAGTGTGTCTAAACAAACACCTTTTTTTCCCCACTTTCTGTAAAGCGCTCCTCGGGGACTCCTTCCTGCTAAATTAAAAATGGAGCCGCTGTCATGAAGAACCTGAAGAGGAGGACCTTCAGACGGGACTGTTGGACTGAAAATGAAAACGAGACAAGAAATGCCTCGACTAAAAACATTAACACAACTGTGATGTAATTAATAAATATTTTCCTGTTCCACATTAAAAAACAGGCCTATTAGAGCTGAGAGGCTCGCTGAAGCAGACATTATTCCTCAGACCTCAGGAAGCAATTATAGCCCTCCAGAATTTATCTACTTCCTCTTCTGTGTAYTTGCGTTGGATAAAAACACGGCAAAGTGCATTTAATCTCCTCCAGTGTTGCTCTGGAAGTCAGCGAGGAAATAAAACCAGAGTGAGAGGAGTTTCTAATGAGCCTAATGTTCATCAGGCTGCTTTGGTTTGACACTAAATGGAAAATGATTAGAGCCACGGTGCAAAAGGAAATGTTTTATCAGACTCTAAAGTCAAAAATCCACATTTAAATCCAACATTCTGTCTTTTTTCTCACAATTTTGAGTCAGAATCTAAGAAAACATCCAGTAGTTCTGCTGCAGCTCTAATCCTCTTCCTCCATCATCTCCGTCTATCCATTTGATGTATTTTTTACATTCTTCACCATTAAACCACTACAGCTCCTAACAGTTATACGGCTGTATCCAACAATCCTTCAATCGAACACTAAAGGGGTCAATAGTTTTGCAGTCAGTCAGTCAGGGAGCAGCACCTGAGGATGTGTGCAGGAAACAATGAAGTAAAGACGTTTAGAAAAGCGGCGTTGGTTTGTGGTTTCTGCAGCTCATTACCTCCACATGTGGAGAGGACAGAAGCAGCTCTGCAGCATGAGTTGCTGGAGAGATTAAGAGAGTCATAAATCTGGTCCCTGTCCATCACAGAAAGTAATTATAGAGGACAAGTGAGCTTCAAAAGTGGACAATAAAACCATGTAAGAGGGYAGTTTGCAGAGTTTGAACAGCAGGGTTTGTCCTTCACTCAAGCCTGCAGACATGAACAGAGTGAAGGAGTTTTAAATAMCAACTAAATTCTTAATGGCAACAATATTTTCTGCTGCGAGAGGCTCATCTCAGCAGAATATTGCACATTTTCATTCTGCAAACAATGTTCAGGAAGAGCATAAAGGAGATAATAAAAACAGAACAGCCATTCCTGAATTTATTTATTTCACTCATTTTATCCTGAGACAAAACTATATTTCCACTCAATAAGAAGTTATTTAGTCCTGTTAGCTTTAAACATAATAGCTTTAGCCTTTTATTTATTTAGATGAGGACCTGTTGTGTGGAGTGTTTAATTTGACAGGCGCCTGATTGCAGTGCTGCCTGATTACACCCATTACTTAATGAGTGTGTGATCCTGAAAGGCTGATTACAGTTTTTACTGTCAGGCGGTTTCAGGACGATCGATAACTGAACATTAAATCAAGGGACAGATGTTTAATTTTGTTAACTGCAGTTATTCCAGCAAACAACAAGCCTCCCAAACAAAAAGCTACAACGGTTTCCTGCTTCAGCCGACATCAGCTGCTCTGATAAAACCCAACTGTATTTGAAACATCTGAAGACACTGGATCACCTCTGTTTGCCACGATGTTGACCATAAATCAGTAACTATATTTGTAATGTTTAATCTTCATGCATTTTCTTAATTGATTTAATAGGCTGGGTAGGTGGTTGGTTTATTGTTCAGTTTGTTTATGGTTATTGGGAGTGGGGATGGATAAAGAACAAATGTGTGGGGGCTTCGTAATGGTTGGTTTGTTTGGTCGACTGGGTGGGTGATGGTTGGTTGTTTTGTTTGTAGAATGGGTGGTGGTTGGTTTGTAGAATGGGTGGTGGATGGTTGGTTGGTTTGTAGAATGGGTGGTGGATGGTTGGTTGGTTTGTAGGATGGGTGGTGGATGGTTGGTTGGTTTGTAGGATGGGTGGTGGATGGTTGGTTGGTTTGTAGGATGGGTGGTGGATGGTTGGTTGGTTAGTTTGTAGGATGGGTGGTGGATGGTTGGTTGGTTAGTTTGTAGAATGGGTGGTGGATGGTTGGTTTGTAGGATGGGTGTTGGTTGGTTGGTTGGTTGGTTGGTTGGTTGGTTGGTTGGTTTGCCGAGTGGGATGGTGGATGGTTGGGTGATTTGTTTGGTCGATTGATTGATCAGTTGGCTGGGTAGGTGGTTGGTTGGTTTGTTTATGGTTATGGGGAGTGGATAAAGAACAAAAATGTGCTGGGGCCCCGTAATGGTTGGTTTGATTGACTGGGTGTGTAGCTGGTCGGTTTTTGGTTGGAGTGGTGTAGCACCTATGTTGTTAAGCAGAGGAACATCAGCTACTGGACCAGTTCTAGGCTCACCAGTGGTAAACTTTTTATAATAAAAGCCAGAATCAGAATAGTGTACATATAAGCCGGCAATTTAATTAGAACACAAGACAACAATTAACAAATATCAGGCACATTAACCTGTGTAAGGTACCTTYTGAACACCCTTTTGTATCGTATTCACCTTATTTTGTGTTAAAGATTGAAATAAAAAGGTTTTATGTTCAACAATTTTAATTCTATTTTGTTTTAATGATCGGTCATTTAATCTGATTTTGGGAAAAAACACGATGTTTAATCCTCAGGTTGAGCTCAATTTCAGATAAACTCAGTTCACTTACTCAGATCCTTATTGATACTTGAAATCATCCATAGTTACCCTTTAAAGCTCACAACAGTATCAAAATCTCAAATGAAATATCACAAAATTTGCAAAACAATAATAGAACAGTGTCCCAATGTCCTTAATTAGCAAATGCTTCAGAGGTCCATCAGTGATGTGTACTGAGTTGCACAGGTTTCCCCCAAAGTTCAGTCAATCAAAAATAAAAAGTTCCTTACCTTCCAGACCTTCATGTAGCAGTGAGTTTAGGATGAAGATGAAACCTTGCGTCGTCCTGACAGCGGTCTTAGAGGAAACTGGCTCGCCATTCAGTTCTCTGAAGTTGAAATCCAGACTCCGGGATCTTCTCCAGGGGAGGTGAAAACCTGGCCTGTAGGACAGGCCATGAGGGATTTTTTAGTCCATTTAGCAAAAATAAAATTAATTATTCAAATCAAAATCAAGCCATTTTGCAGGGCCACGTGACTAAAGAAAAACACAAAATGGCAGCTGCTCTCTCAGCTTACCCACCTGCAACTCACCACCAAACTGCCTAGATTTTTACACAAATTAAACACAAATGGTAAAAATAAAAACACACAGAAGCATTACGTTGAAAAAAAAGCAAATTATTTGTAAACATCGATTTATGCTCTCTGTTAATAAGGCAGTGTTTAAACAGGCTTAACTGCTTTGATTCTAACACACAAAAGTAATACATTTACAAAAGAAAACTTACCAAAACTGGTCCTGTAACAGTTTTTAATCTCTTCTAGCTCACAGCCCTCTTTCATCAAGGAAAGAATCAAGACTTCACCCGAAACTCTTCCATAATTCTCTGATATCGTTGTGCTAACAGCCGCTCTGCTGCCTTCTGACGTTAGCTTGATGCTATGCTCAGCTTCGCGGGTGAGGGAGGGGCGCTTTAAAACTTTATTGACAACCCAACAGTTTACAACAGCGCATCTGAAACAAAAAACATTACTCTAAGAACAGATTACAAAAGATCTTCGTGCTTATTTATCATAATATATTTTTTCTTTTATTTATTTTTTATTGTTTTAATTTTATTTTATTCTTCTTTTTTTTACATTTTGATAACATTTTATGAACGTATTTATCAACTGTTAAGCTGTACTTGTAACTGGGGTTACGGTGGGGTAGTGGATGGTTGGGTTGCTTGTTTGGTTGGTCGGTTGATCAACTGGTTGGGTAGGTGGTTGGGTGGTTCATAAGGTTGATCAGTTGGTTAGTGAGGTGATGGGTTTATTGGTCAGCTGGGTGGTTGTTTGGTCAATTAACTGGCTGTATGTTTATAATGTTTAACACCCTGATGGTCCTTTTAACAATGGGGATAATCAGGGCACTAAGGAACGATCATCATACTGAGGGTCCTCTTTTTCATGTGAACAAACAGTTTTGATTTTCATCATTAAACTTGTTCGTCACCATGTGGAGGCAGGGCTTATAAGTCTGAGTTTCTCTGAAACTCCTCAGACTGAAGGTCTCTTGGAGGAGATGTGATTTTACATTTTATTATCGATATGTAAAAACCTGTCCAGAGGACCTACTTAATCTTTTTTTTTTCTACCTGGATTACCAAGATGCATCAGGACATCTTGTTTAGATGTATGAAATGATGTGAGTTTAAAATAATTCCTAACTAATTCGTACACAACAACAGTAGTGATTTACAAACAGTATAAAATGTCATTTAATGRTGAACTTTACTCAAAGACTTGTCATTCTCACACGAACTGACGTCTGATGTGAGTTTTAAAGTGACAAACTTTTAAACGTGATTAAAAATTCATAAATGCAGTTTTTTTTTTATCTTTCTGTGCCAGATGACACAGCGAGTGCACGTTGTTTTCCGCTGATTGTCTTTGAAAAATGACACCTTCCTCTCAGGAACAAAAATCAGCGTCATTAATTTCAGCCGATTCATCAGAACAGCTTCAGACGACGGTCTGTTTTAAAGGACCAGTGGGTTTGTGTTTAATCCAAATAACTACCATCTGCTCACGCCTTCTGTTGGTGTCACTCGTCTCCTAAAACAGGCAGGAATGTTGGGCTTTTTTCTTCTATTTGTTTTTGTTGAACTGCAGATTTCTGTAAACTTTTAGGATAAAGGTTAAAAAGTAAATATTTGAGTCTGTGCTGGTTCCAAGGAGCTATTTTAATCAAACTCAGATTTCCTTTGACTCATCACTTCTTGTGTTTGACACGTTGGATTCTGATTCTGAAAAAACTTTGAACAAAGTCTTTAAAAACTCTGAAATTGTGCAGGTCACGTGACCCCAAAGCACATCATTTTTATTAATAAAGTTTTATTGATACCTTTTTATTCAAGGTCAGGTGTGTTGTAGTGTTTTACAAATGAAAACTAGATCAAATTTAAAGAGAAACACAGCAGAAACAAGGCCAAGCTCCTAAAAATCTATCAAGCARACATAAACACGCCAAAACAAGACGAATGAGACACAGTTAAACAAATCCTATTAAAGAAATAGATCTTAAGCTGCTTTTTAAGGTGTGATTCCTCTAATTTATGGGCACACTAAGTCCTGCCAAGTCAGCAATTAGCAGGTCCGACTGTGGAGCAGGTTCTGTCCTTAAAAACATCCTGTTCTGGACTCGTGATCTGAATCCTGAGACTAACCCTGACCCATGGGTTTTAAACATCCTGGAACATTTGATGGACTTTTTAAACGTTAGCCGTCTTTGTGAATATTCTAGTATTTGTTTTATTTTCACCCAAGCAGACATTTCAGCCTAATGTGTTCAGAGGAACCATAAAAAAATCATTCTGAAGTGTTTCTGTGATGCATTTAGACTTGATTTGATTACGTTTCCGGTACTTTTTACTTAAGAGTCTCGAGCTCCTGGAAACTTTCAATAAAAGCTAAACTCAGAGGATCTGAGGCCGATTTTCACAAACCTGCTGAGTTTTTCTTGTGAGTGTCTCCCCCCATTCGTTTGAACCGATTGCTCTGACGGCCTTCTCGTCCTGATTTGTATTCAGCAGCGGCGAAGTCGGGAGCTTTTATTTCATGTTGGTTCTGCCCTGCAACCCTCGATTCAAATGACTTTCAGTCTCTTTGTTCTGGGCTGCGATCCAGACCAGGAGGGCTGAGGAATGATGCATGGAGGTGCTTTATTAATGTGACGTGCTGCCCGGGCAGAGACGGCAGTCGTTCATATTTCTGCCCTGCCACCTCCGTGTTGGCCTGCCTGAGATACAAGCTCACCTGGAGGAACCGCTTCTGTCAAACCGTCTGAAATATCGCGGCTCGAGTCAAGTACAGGCGCTTTGCCTGATTTCTCAGAACCTGTTAAAACAAGACAAGACATCAGAAAGCATCAAGGAGCTTCAGCTCCGAAGAACAAGAGGTGGAGCTTTTMTAATATCGCCGTTTTGTTTTGTGCAGCAGCTCCATCTGTCAAATAATCTGCTGCTCGTGGTGCAGGAGGTCAGAGGTGGATGGTTCTGTGGAATAATAATAAGCAGCAGCTCCGAGTCGAGCTGCATGCTGCTTTATGCATTTATTATTCTAGATGTGGTGGAGCCTAAACAGCTAACCCTGCTCTTTTTACTGCCTCGTTATCATAGATTATATAAAAACATAAAGTCATTTGACTTTGCATGGGAAAATAAAATGATAATTTATCTTATTTTGTTAGGTTTTATGGTTAAGGTTGAGGTTCAGACCTTTTATAAAACCAGTTTAGTCATTAASCCCGCTTCTCCTCAGTTTTGCTGACTCATAAATAATTCCCACCTGGTTTCTGTCCTAACCAAGCATTTCTGAGTTTCCATCCTTGAATCCTCTCTCCTGAGCATCCAGACCATTTTCATCAACAGGAAATGTTTTTTTTTATTTATTTAACCTTTATTTCAACAGGCAAAACATTAAGAACAGTTTCTTATTTACAATGTTGGCCTGAGAGTGCAAAAACACTTAAAAACACTTAAAAACGGGAAGATGGGGAAGGGGAAACAACATAAACAGTTCATAAAACATATAAAATGAGCGATGCAATCATTCTTTAAAACAGTCATGACTCCTTTTAGTCTGTGTTTAAAAGCAGGAATAGAAATCAAAGCCAAGATGCAGAGTATTTTGATAGAAGTTACAATCATTTGCTGCAACAAAGCAGAAAGACATCAGGCCAAAGGAAGACTTACCATATACGTATATTCATATATAATACGATCTCATATAATATAATACTAACTCTTGTATAATACGATCTCATGTATAATACGACCCCCCTTTTTTGAGCTTAAAAAGCATAAAAAACTTAATCCTCAAACTACCTCCAATTTCATCCAGACTTGAAGATTTTTCAGTCTTTGCAGTCTTTATACATAACAGTAAAATGATCATTGGACTGTTCATTTTATTTTAACAACATATGTACTAAAAGGTATTTTGACAACAAATATATATCAGCTGTAGCAGCATCATATGAATTCTGGCATTTTACACATAGTCCACCAGGAGGCGCCAACACAAAAGTCAGAGACTTCACATGAGATTTGGACCATCTTGTGGGGGAAAAGCAGATTACTTCCTACTCGCGAGCGCCCCCTCTGGTGGGTAAACTTTTTTCAGGGATGCAAACTTTTTCAGAACACCGGTAGACGGCAGCCATTACAGACGAACATGTGTTTGTTGTTGTTTGAGCAGCGGCCCGGTCACACACTAATGTCATTAGTTTGTTATCATTACTGAGGTGCAGGACTACTTTTTTTCACATCATGTCTCCTGCCTGGATCTGTTATTATCTCGCTCTGAAGCACAGAGGAGTGTCAGAGGTGAGCTCATTTCAACTGATTTTTACGACGCGGTCTCATTTCCGGACTCAGGCATTTTGTGAATGAAGCTGAACTTTCAGTTAAAATACATAAGTAAAAATATTTATCTGAGTATAGTACTACCCCCCAACTTTATGGATGATTTTATGGATTTAATTTTACATTTTATACTTGGATGGACGGACAGACAGACAGACAGACAGATAAATCTTTATTTGCCATTTGTGCATATACTAGCAGTTTACACACATTGGAATTCTTGTATAAATACATATATAAGTAAATACGGTACGTAAATGAAGTAAATGTGTTGATTCCTAATAAATGAGTTCTCACAGGGAACCACGTCAGTCTCTTTAAAGCACGCCAAGCCAGCAGGTTGTTCCAACCTTTCCAACAGCGTGTCCTGGAGGAGTTCCACATTTGGATCAGCTTCCTGATTGGCAGCTGTCCTCCACCGGGGGACGTTAGGAGGAGGTCTGCCGTTATCTGGCTGTGGATGTCCAATTAGCAGCTTCAGTCACACAGGCGGTGTTGATCAGGATGCTCCAGGTGGAACAAGGTCCTGGTCATGGACTCCAGCAGCCAGGAGTCTCTGCCGGACATCTGCTAATCGTGCAGCTCCAAATGAACAACCCCACTAAAGCCCACTTAACAAGTGTCTGACACGCCTTTCATTTTATGGCTGACCACTTTATTATGTGCTGTGCAGCAGCTTCACACACACTGTGATGAAAGCAGAGAAGCACCCTTGATAAAACTGGGCTGCAGTGAGATCCTCAGAGGAGGAAGCCTACATACACCAGTGATAACCTGTATATCAAGCTCTCAATCTGCCACCCGCTGAAGGGGGAAAATAAATAGCCTTCATCTTGGTGAAAGTGTGCTCTCCTTGTCCGCAAAGTGGTAAATCTTGCCTTTTGTGAAAGTGGGACGTGCCGAGGCGCCGAGGGAAAAGAGGCGCTGACAAGGGCAGTGGGGCAGGACCATAAAGGAGGAGGAGGAGGTATGATAGGTTTCCTCCCTCTGCAGGCGTCATTACATCTCACTTAGAGTTTCTGCATCGCTCCGTCTCAGCTGACGACACCTCCACATTACATGTTGACAAAACAATCAGCAGAAACCGAGTCCAGAATCTGCAAATGTCATCCCGTCCCCGTCCCTCTCCTCTCTCTGCGCCCTCATCCTGAAAGGACTCGGTCATCCAGACCAATTTAGAAGTGTCCTGTAATTATAGACCTGTCAGTACTGATTTCCATCAACAACTCTGCGCGTGTGATGATCCGACAGGAATGTTAATGAGTCTCCCGTTTGGAGTTAATCAGCTGCGTGTTTCCTCACAGTCCTCCGCCGCGCAGCCGTCCAACGTAAACGCCACCGTTGTGCTTTTCCGGGCCAGAGGACGGGAAGGCGGGGACGTGATGCAACCRTCCCGATCCCGGACTGGCCCCCGGGTAAAAGAAAGAAAGTGCCTCCCCTGCAAAATCTTTTAGTTTTTAGTCAAAGTTTATGTCCACTTGCTTCACCRCTCTTGACTTGCTGTACAATTCCTTCACTTAATTAGTGGAGCTATTTCTTCTCGACAGGCCTCCCCGAGGGTCACGGATTCAAAGAAATTCTTCAGCTAATGGGAATTGCTGAGCACTTTGTTCATTTTAATGCGCCTCGGCTGGATAAGCTTTTGACACTGTGTGAAGGCGGCTCCAAAACAGAGAGGTCTGAGGAGACGAACGGTTCACGGTTAAAGGAAGTGAAACAGTCAAGGCGTAAAAGTCACGTCTCCACGCTGGACGGCAGCTCGTTATGATTAATTATGTCCCCGGCCGTATGTGTGTGTTTGGTGTTATTTGTGCTGGTTCAAGAGGCTCAGTTCCAAATGTCACGCCGTTATTGTTCTGTGAGGATGAAGGGCAGTTTGGCTGAGAAAATGGGATTTTTTTATATTTCAGAATTTAAATTTTATCAGCTTTTTACTTTTTATGAACTTTACTTTGAATTCCTCACAGAGTTATAATGAACCACTTTATAAATATTAAACCTATGAACACGTCCTGTGTCTGATGCTGCAGCTACTGCAACGTGTTATTGAGCTGATCCTACAGGTTATTATTATTATTATTATTATTAGGGACAAACACACAATAACATAAAGTGAATAAAACAGCAGTCCCATGCCTGTATCATGGTGCTTATAGCTTCAGCTCACATGCAGCACCTGTCCCTCTGTGGGTTTTTATAAATAGTATATAAAATATACTTCTAAGAAGTGGAATAAAAAAGTAAGATAATTAAAATAAACAGTATAAACAGAGTCAAACACATGAAGCAGAGACAACATATAAAATATTTTTACAACTAAAACACTTTGACACACATGATCAGAAATTAAAAACCTTTTCAGCATGATTACAGTGCTGTTTTTGACACAGTCAAAGTTTAGTTTGTTGAAACACGTTAAATCTGGTCACAGACTTTAAACTGACAGGAAGTACATTGTGGATCCTTTCACAGATGGTTCGATGAAAAAGGAACTACAGTCAGTGTTTGAGGCTGCTCTGCTTGATCTRCTGCAGCTCTGCTGTTTCTGTACAACTGCTGGCCTGGGTGCAAGTCTGTTCAAGCATTTGAAGATCAGTTAAAAAACTGAAATTTATGAAATTGAAAAAGTCTAAACTACTGAACTTGGTTAAAATGTTAAAAAGGATTAAATCTGATTAGCTTCTGGTAAGAAAAAAACAAAAACAAAACCTTTTAAGGTCTGATTGTAAAGACTTTAGTTTGAGTGKAGTTTGGTGAGTTTGGCTCCATCAGACACGTGTGAAATAATCACTGACTTCAAGAACATCTCTGCACAACCAGCTGTCAAATAATTTCTATCTGACACAGTCCAACAGTTTTGCAGATTTTCTCAACATGGATCTTACAGTTTACCAGAGCATCCAAAACTGTTCCTAAATATTTTTCCTCTAATATTCATTTGTTATAAAAATCTTTTTTTTTTTGTTTCCAGCAAACAAATGCACCCCTCCTC